ATCTCACTGGTGACACCACAGGAGAAAAGACCTGGTGATCTGCTCCTGTAAAGATGCCAGGCCAGAAACTCTATGGGGTAGTTCTTCTCTGTCCCATGGGGTTGCTGTGAGTTGGAATTCACTCTACAGCACGCAACAAGCAGCACCACCTCAGGGATCTCATTGGGTTTTCAGGAGCGTGGACACTGTGTTCTGATTTCAGTGAGTGAGGCCACCACCCAAGGATCAAGGAGCAGGAGCACCTCCTGCTTGAAGTGGTACAGGAGTCCTTCTGGTACCAGAGGGCAGCACTACTGACTGACTCCTTAACTCCTGGGAGTGAGGCCACACACTCCCAGACTCAAGGGGTATAGTCACTGCCTTTTTGTTTTTGTGAGGGAGGGTAATGTGTCACTCTTTCAGGACCTGGGGCCACCTTCTGCTTAATTCAAGTGGTGGGCCATCACCTTGGCCCAGTGGGCGGGGCCACTGCTGCCTGGGTTCCAGTGGGGAGTCTATAGCCTGTGCAGTTCAAAGGGCACAAGCACTTCTTAGGTTAAAGGTTAAAGATACAGCACACTAATTCCAAGATTCAAGACGCAGGACGCCCATCAAGGCTCAAGATTGGGGACCCCACCAACTCAAGTAGTGAACTCTTCTGTTCAAGAGGTTGTTGCCACCTCTTTTCTTTCTTTGTTTTGGCTCCAGTACCACCTCCTTGGGATTAGAGGGAGTGGTCACCATACCCAAAGCTCAAGGTGTACATCCTTAGTTCAAGGGCCGTAGTATTCTTGGTGCCTGAGCTGAGAGCCCCACTCTTCAATTCCAGCCCCAAGCCATCAATTCAAAGGCAGGGATGTTCCTTGATTTCAGGGGGAGGTGCCGCTGTCTCCTCAGTCTCAGAGGTGGGGCTATATAGTGAGTATTACCTGGTAGGACCACCCCCCCCCTTGTTCCAGGGGGTGGGGCCAGATACTGCTCTTAAAGGAACAGCAGCCTCCTAGGTTCCAGGGACATGGCCAAGGCCACTAAGGTTCCAAGGGGTAGGACTGCCATCTTCTCAGTTCAACAGGCGGGACTTGTCTTCAGTTTCAGAGAAGAAACCAGAGTCACTAATTTCCTGGGGTGGGGTCACCATGTTTATCCAATACACAGTCAGTATCACTTTGTTATATTGTTTTCTGGAGGGCAGAGTGGTAGCCTGTCAACTTGAGGGAGGTGGGCTACCATCTGCTCAGTTCAAGGTCCAGGGCTACCTCCTGGGTTAAAGGAGCAGGGACACCTCCTCTTCACTTCAGGGTCCGGGGACACTACTTCCTCATTTCAAGGAGTAGGGAGACCACCTCCTCAGTTCTAAGCAATGGGGCCACTTTCTCCTCAATTTCAGGAAGCAGGGCCATGACCTCCTCTGTTCCAGAGGGAGGGGCCATCACCTACCATTTTGGTTCAATGGACTGGGTCACCAGCTCCTGGGTTCCAGTGGGCAGAACACCCAAAAATCTCAGCTGCTAACCTAAAGGCCAGTGCTTCGATGCCTATGGTGACTTCACAGGAGAAAAGACATGGCGATTGGCTCCTGTGAAGACGACACCCTTCAAAACTCGATGGAGCAGTTTTACGAAGTCACATGGGGCCTCCATGAGTTGGACTTGACTCCAAAACACACAAGCACCACCAACACCCCTGGCTTCTTCACAGGTTGCAGGGAATGTGGCCACTGTGTCCTCGTTTCAATGAATAAGGCCATTACCCTAGGGTTAAGGGTCAGGACCACGTCCGGGTGTAAGTGGTGGGGTCGCATCTTAGGCACCAGAAAGGGTAGCTACTGTTTCCTCAGTTCCATGGAGTGAGGCCACAACTTCCCAAGTTCTAGGGGTTCAGTCACTGCCTTCTGGTTTTCTACTGATGGAGCAATGAATCCCTCTTTGGGTCTGGACCTCCAGGCTCCTCATTTCAACGGGTCCATTATTTGGTATCACAGCTTCCTGGGTTGCAGCAGTGGGGCCACAGCCTACCTTGTTCACATGGCACAATCACCTACTAGGTTCACGGAACCAGACACTTCTTCCTAGGTCTCAGGGCCAGGACCACCTCCAGTGTTCAAGGTGTGTACACCGCCTCCTCTGGTTGTAAAGTGCCTTCCATTTTGGTTCCAGAGATGAGTGCCACCACCATCTTTGTTTTTGAGAGGCTAAGGGAAGGCCTCTTGGGGATCAGGGGGTAGTTCCACTCTCTCCTCAGTTCAAGGTGTGACGCCATAGGACAGAACCCTCCAACTTGTTAGCTTAAGTCCCAACTTCTCATTTTAAGTGGCAGGCTTTCTCTTTGGTTTTAGAATGCAGAACCACTGCCATCTCCTTTTGGGGCGAGGATCTTCTCCTGGTTTTAGGAGTGGGGTCCTCCCTGGCACTAGAGGGCAGAGTCACTGCTCCTCAGGTCCAGGGAGTGAGGCCACAACTTTCCAGGCACCAGGGTTGGGGCCACTGACTTCTGGTTTTAGACGGCGGGAGCAATGTCTCCCTACTCTAGGGAGTGAGGCCATGGGCTCCTAATTCAAGGGGCAGGCTGTCTCTTTGGTCCAGTGGGCAGGGCCACAGCTTATGGGGCTCAAGGGGCACAACTACCTCCTAGCTTAAAGGGACAGGACTGCTTCTTAGATTTAAGGAACAGGACCCATCGCCTCCTCAGGTTGGGAGGTGCCTGCATCTTCAGTTCCAGAGATCAGCACCACCACCTTCTATTTCTGAGAGGTGCAGGCAAAGCCTCCTTGGGGCCCGGAGGTAGGTTGTATCACTGACAGCACCAGCCGCAGAGATGAATTACACGGACCCGCTGGGGCCATCTAAAAGCAGCAACTGGGGAGCTGAAATGAAGCCCAACCTCTTCCTCCTCTGCCCACCCCTCACCCACCCCAACTGCCCTAACTTAAGTACGTGGGACGAAATGAGCAGCCTCTGGGATAAATGACATCCAGGAGGTGCAACAAGGTTGTCATTAAGGCCAAACAGTAGAGGGCGCAGTGGTTAAGGTCACTGCGATGTTTCGCAGGTCTCCAGGGCTCTGTAGGGCACAGGCGCAAAGGTTGCTGAACAGCAACGAGGAAACCCTGATGATGGGCTGTTCACTTTTCAAAGGCATACATGCTTTACCTGGGATTCCCTCTCCAAACCCCTCTAGCGTCCTGGCTATATACTTTTATTTACTCGCTGCCATCAAGTGGATTCCAACTCATAGCAATCCCCTATGGGTTTCCATAGGGGCTCTGGTAGCATAGTGCCTAAGGCACTTGACTGCTAACCAGAGGGCTGGCGGTTCAA